ACCTCATATACCGCGCCGAGGACAAGAACACGGGTGGCCTGCACCGGCACATGATGGGCAGATTCCGCCGTGCCATCAACGACCTCGCCTTGAAGGAGATATAGCGTCGCTTCACATGGTCGAATGAGCAATCGCCGCCCACGTTAGTGCACCTGGACCGCGTCCTTTGCACGTCGGACTGGGAAGATGCGCACGGCAAGTGCCACCTCCGGTGCCTCGCTTCGGTCATGTTGGATCATTGCCCGCTGCTGCTCGATTGTTCCCCCATGCCGACTGCGCACAAACGCTTCCACTTCCAGGACTATTGGCTCAGACTTGACGGCTTCCATGACACAGTCACCGCGGCGTGGAGCTCGGTGCATGATGACGACCCGTTTAGGCGGCTGGTCAAGCGTCTCCAGGCCACTGCTCGCCGCTTATCAAGCTGGAGCGCCAAGGCCACGGGCAACATTCGGGACAAGCTCGCCATATCCCGCGAGCTGATCATGCGCTTTGACAAAGCGCGGGAGGACCGAGTGCTCTCGCCTCCGGAGGAATGGCTCCGCAAGCAGCTCAAGCTCGCCTACCTCGGCATGGCATCCATGGAGCGCACGATCGCTCGGCAGCGTGCCCGGATTGCGTCCCTTAAGGACGGCGATGCCAACACGAGCTTCTTCCATCGGCAATGCTCATATCGGCGTCAGAAGAACCGCATTTATAGCCTCGACGTCGACGGGCAGGTGCTCACGGACCATGAGGAGATGGCCAACGCCGCGTTCTCACACTTTGACGGCCTGCTGGGCACTGCTGCAGACCGGGCGCACACGCTGGACCTCTCTCAACTCATCGCGCCCGGCGACCTCGCATGCCTAGACGCGCCATTCAGCCAGGAGGAAATATGGGACGTGGTCAAGCGCATGCCGGCGCGCAAAGCACCCGATCCGGATGGTTTCACTGCGGAGTTCCTGCGCGCCTGTTGGAGCATCGTCCGCCATGACATATGGGATGTCTTTGAGCTGCTATACACGCTGCATGGACGCAGGTTCAGCAAGCTTAACCAAGCGCTGCTAACCTTGCTGCCTAAGCGCGCGGACGCTCACAAGCTTGGTGACTACCGGCCGATCTGCCTGATACACATTGTGGCCAAGATCTTCGCAAAGGTCCTGTCATTGCGCCTCGCCCCCAAGCTCGACACCCTGGTCAGCCGCAACCAAAATGCGTTCATTGCCGGACGTAGCCTCCACGACAACTTCGTTCTAGTCCGGCAATCTCTCAAGATGCTGCACCAACTTGGCGCGCCCCGGATCATGCTGAAGCTCGACCTCACTCGCGCCTTCGACTCTATCTCTTGGCCCTTCCTCTTTGAGGTGTTGCGCCAATATGGGTTCGGGGAGCGATTCCGAGAGTGGTTGGCCATCCTTCTATCCTCGGCTAGCACGCGGGTCATGATCAATGGAGTCCCCGGCCCTCCAATCTGGCACCGTCGCGGCCTGAGACAAGGTGACTCCACCTCCCCACAACTCTTCGTGCTGGCGATGGACACCCTTGGGAGACTGATGTGTCTCGCTCTTCAAACGGGTGTCCTCCAGCAGCTGCATCCCCGGCGAGCCATCCCGACGATATCTCTCTACGCCGACGATGTGATGCTTTTCTGCCATGCTACTGCCGAGGAGATTGCCGCGGTCAAGGGAATCCTGGACATGTTTGGTACGGCGTCTGGGCTACGGGTGAATTACGCCAAGAGCTCGGCCACGATCCTGCATGCCGACGGCCACGGCGAGGGGCTGCTGGAGCCACTTGGGTGCCCCGTCGTGGCCTTGCCGGTCACCTATCTGGGCATACCGCTCTCCACTCGCCGCCCATCCGCAGCCCAGCTACAACCCATCGTCGACGCGGTGGCGGGGCGGCTACCCTCCTGGAAAGCTTGGCTGATGAACAAAGCGGGACGTCTAGCACTCGTCAAGTCGGTGCTCAGTGCGATACCGATCCATCAACTGCTTGCGCTAGCGCCTCCAAAGAAAACCCTGAAGCAACTGGAGAAAATTCAGCGCGGTTTCCTTTGGGCCGGCCGCGCGGACGCCCACGGTGGTCACTGCCACGTCAACTGGCGCCGGGTCTGCCGCCCACTCGAATATGGCGGCCTCGGCGTCCGGGACCTCGAGCGCACGGGACTAGCGCTCCGGCTGCGCTGGCTATGGCTCGCGCGCACAGACTCGGATCGAGCTTGGCAGGGGCTGGACCTACAATTCACGACGGAGGAGCGAGCGCTCTTTTACGCTTCCACGACCATGGCTATCGGTGATGGCAGGACAGCCCTTTTCTGGGAGGACCGCTGGATTGACGGCCAATCCATCCACGAGATAGCGCCCATGCTTATCATGTGCATCCCCAAACAGCGCAGGAAGTCCACAACGGTGGCGGAGGCCCTCGCCGGCAACAGATGGGCGCGTGACATCCATGGCCTGCTCGGCATCCCGGAGATTGGCCAGTACCTAAAGCTTTGGCACCTTGTCCAGCATGTCGAGCTGTCCAATGAGCCAGACAGGCTACTCTGGAGATGGACAACCAATGGTGTTTACACGGCCCAATCCTGCTACCGGGCAACCTTCCAGGGCGCGACGAGCTGCAATTCTTGGAAACTCATCTGGAGGAGCTGGGCGCCGCCCAAGGTGAAGTTCTTCCACTGGCTGGCATGTCAAGATCGTTGCTGGACCGCGGAGAGACTAGCGCGCCGCGGCCTGCAACACCACCCACGGTGCCTCCTGTGCGACCAGGAACCGGAGACGATTGGACACCTGATGCTTGCGTGCCCATTCACCAGGCAGACTTGGCACGAGGTCCTCTCTTGGCTACGCCTACCGGCACCGACGCCCGACCACGACGGCTCGCTCATGGATTGGTGGCTGCGCGCTAAGGAATCCACACCGCCAGCATAGGAACGCGTGTGTTTTCGACCATGTGAGGCCTTCGCTGAATGAGCTTGTAGACAGGATCAAAGACGAGACCAAATGTTGGGCAAAGGCCGGAGCCCAAGGGCTCAGGGTCGTTTTGCCACCATCCTGGGATGTCCACTGAGGCCCCCTTGGCTGTGTAAAACTACCTCCTAGGAGGATGTATATTCCCCTTCCTTTCCAATGCAATGAAACGCAAAAGCCATTTGCGTTTTCTCGAAAAAGAATCTGCATTTCACTACTTTTGTGTATGAGATCTTAGTGAGTCGATGGGCAAAAGGTAATACTCCATTGCATTGCTAGGCACACATTGAATCCCAAGTAAGTTGCTAGCTTGCTGCCCGTAACATAATAAATTAATTAATGTCACTAATGTAGCTCATTTTCTTGTTGTTGTCTTTACTGCTATTTAGGTCTTACACTCAAGCCTGGATTAATGAGGTTCCGGGCCACCAAACTCCACATACATATGAAGAGATTTCAACTGAGAGAAACAAATGCTTTAGGAGTTCTTTTTCCTGGTGGTCCTGAAATGCAAAAGATAAAGCAACAATTTGCTTATTTCAGTTTGTATGCTACTGGATTCAATAACTTTGACTCAATTGAGGATAGAGCCTACCTAGATCCCAAGACATGGTGGGGTATCCATGGTAATGCTGCCCCAGAACTTCGGGTGCTGGCACTAAAATTACTTGGACAGCCAGCATCGTATTCCTGTGCTGAAAGAAATTGGAGCACATATGGTCTGATAAACAGTACAACAAGAAACAGGTCTTGTATTGTCTATTCTCCTTATATTCTTGATTTCACCACCTACTTGCAAGTTGGAATCAGAGCTCAATTTTATTTGTTGTAGGCTGAGAATCTTGTCTTTGTGCATTAAAACATGCGTCTCTTTAAGGAAATCAGGAGACTATTCAACTGGCCCGTCAAGATTCTAGGATATTGGAGGAAACACCCGCGAGATATTTGGTGGCGGTGCAGATTTTCTTAAGGATGCCATGCTCTCACTAGATGAACCAGACTTGGAGGCCTTGCTGGATGATATTGGGGCATTGGACACTGGAGTTGGAGAGACGGATTGACTCAACAAATTGAGATTCATCATTCATGTGATGTCTTTTTGTCATGTCATTTTACCTGCCCTACTATATTCGAACATTATTAGCTGATTTCAGTTTGTTGCATGCACTTTCTAAGTTGTGGATTATGATCAGATTATCATATTATGTACTAGCTACCTAAAATTAGGTTATGTTGTTGAATTGCACTGTTATTTTGTGATTCATTTGTTGCCTCGCGTTTCGTGTTTGGAATGTACAGAAATAGATGAATGGGACGAGACTGGATTAATGGTTGGAGACTTGGAGTACTCTATATTTGAAATGTAAGCACGATGTACCTTTCCATTTATGCTTACATACATTTGTTTTAGGGTACTAATTTACTACTCCCTCCGTTCCTAAATATTTGTCTTTTTAGAGATTTCAACAAATGACTACATACGGAGCAAAATGAGTGAATCTACGCTCTAAAATATGTCTATATACATCCGTATGTGGTAGTTCATTTGAAACCTCTAAAAAGACAAATATTTAGGAACGGAGGGAGTATGTTGTTGGCACTTGGTAGCTAGGTGGAGAGGACAAGGCCACACCACAGGAGCAATAAATAAGCCTATTCAGTACTTCTAAGTCAGAAATTGCCACTTTTCTGAATTCTCATACAAAATCACTAAATTTTTTATATAATTATTATATATGTACAAATGCATCCCCTATCGGCGTTTTTGAAAAATCGAAGTAGCAAGGTACCGCAGTGTCTGTATCCGTATCACCATATCTGTGCAATTTAGTATGTGAGCTGAGCCCTAACATGCTATTCCAAACAGCTTCACACTGGCTAACCTGGCCACGCTATATATTTTGGCAACTTGCATGGCACCAAGTTGCTTGTAATGCAAAAACAAAAACAAAAAAATTTGCTTGCAAACATGTAGAGAAAAAATAAAGTTCGCACATCTAACGAATTTGAAAGAGAATGGAGCTTTTACTGGTACTTACGACTTACCAGATGCGACTGACATAAATCCGCAAGTCTTTTATGTTCAACCAATCTCCGCTGTGTAACTCGACCCTCATCATCACTCTAAACAGAGGTATAATAAGCATGTCATGTTAGCCAATTGTTGGGAGAGTGAAGACAGTGGCCAACTCATAGAAAACTAAAGAAAATCAACCTTATTGACTGCAGGCTCATTTGGGATGTCAGGCTCATCATCTGGATATGGAACATCTGGATCATTTGGGATGTCTGGCTCATCATCGTCACTGAAATAATGCACACTAGGATTGGGATGATTGTCATCCTTTGGATCTCCAACTGTTTCACACTTTTCGTCACCAGTTTCAAATGACATCCTAAGCTGCAATATGGAAGTGTTGCAACAAGTTACTACCTTGAAAATATCTAACATGCATAATAATAAAATAAACATTTTTGCAACAATGATGAGCACCGTTTCATAAACTGATTGGGAGACATCGAGTTTTTCCTGCTGAGAAATATGTACTGCAAAATATTTTGTTAGCTCGGGACTAACAACATTGTCCACCCTTGCAACAGGAAATACATATGCAAGAGTTTTCTTCTCAGGAGCGCCAATAACTTGCCTTGAAAAACATTTTACTGTTCCAATCAGATCAAGAAAGGAGATTCAATATATAGTTAGTGAACATAATATATAAGGAAATAAAACATCCTTTTCTGGGAAACAACAGTTTCCAATACCTCTCTTATTGATCTTTAGGTTGCCAGGTTCATGTGGATCCAAAGATTTATAAGGATCCTCGTCATCGGAATCATCCCCAGGATCTGGGGATCCAGGGTCTACATAATCTGGCTGGGACATGCTGGGATCAGGAGTAAGGTCACCAGGATGATCACTCCAGTCTTTCGCTGGACTTTTACCTGGATTCATTTCTTGAGGTTTTTCAATCTCCGGTTGAACTGCATTTCCCAGGACTTCACCAGGAGTTTTTCTACGAGCAGTACCCCCTGATCTTGCATTTGGGGAAGTGAAGGCTTTGTGTCGGGCTTTAGATGGTGCTGAGCCACCTCTATGAGGCAGAATATCTTCTTTGCATGATTTTTTTCCTTGCAGGAAGGCAAAAACAGCTGGTGCATCACAAGGATCCAGCAGGACGAAATCTCCATAGAAACCACATGTTGCTAACTGCAATAAAGAAACAACTAGACTAGTTCAGTATGGCAGTACATGTTATCAGTCTTAATTGGAACTTGGAAGTAAAGGAATAGAAGATTACCAAATACGAATCCAGCTCACTGGCTTCGCTATCGACACAGTCTCCTTCGAACACCAATAAATTTGCTGGTGGCCTCACAATTTTTCTTCGCAAGTCATCCCGGTCAAGATTATTATCCAAAGTGGTCCTTGTTTCCGCTGGTAATTTAGAAGGTACGATACAGGCTTAGCGCCATGTCATTCAAAGCAAGCATATCCACTGGATTCATTGCAACATCATGAACAATGGGGGCGTCTGCCTAAGCACCGGCACCCCCACCAGACTGGTAGAACCATATAAGGTCCACTTACCTGGGACATCATCCAAACCCAGAAACATATCATCTTCTTTGTTGGGAGTAGTGCTAGGGTCATTTTCATTAGCTTCAGCAGAACCCTTTTCTTGTCGATCTGGCCTGGTATAGTTCGAATATTAAACTATTTGTGGATAAACTGAAAAAATGCACTAGGATGGTCAAAGGAGAATTTGCAAGCCGATAATTTGGCAAGGGCTGATATTTTAGACAAAAACCAAACTCTAGTAGGGTTTGTATCTAGCAGACACCAATTTTTGTTTCTGCGCTGCCAATTTTGACATAATTAATTGGTTTAGAGATTCTATAGTTCCCTAAATCAGCACCCCGACTGTTAACCAGGCATGTCATGCTCCGAAATAAGATGTGCAAGAAAAGTAATAGTTGCCAGCACATACATATCACTGTCTGGCAGTTTGAGGCCCATTTCAGGTAAGATATGCAATGTCCCAGTCTCAGCAAGGTAGCATACAGAAGATAAGGCTAAGACAAGACTGATATATTCTTACTTATTTTGCGATAGAAATTCCAGTGCATGTAGCACCAACGAGTACAAGTACTCCACCTTGCGGCTGTAAACTTGAACCGATCCTTGGAGCAATAGCGCCGCTGCACATGAAAGTGGCCATAAAATTAGCAGCGCGGGAGAAGGGTTCACAAAAAGAAAGTAACTTTCTTTCGATTCTTTCGATGCAAAGTCCCTGATTAAATTAGGGAAAGGCTATAAATCACATGATGGATCGCGGAAAAAAATTATATGAGACCAGGTCTCATATAAATCAGGTGAGACCCGCCCTGATGAATGACATGTGGCATTCACAAATCACAAAGCATCTAATCTCTCCCCCCCTGATTTCAGGTGGGGGGTGGGGTGGATGCTTTGTGATTTGTGAATGACACGTGTCATCCATCAGGATGGGTCTCACCTGCTAATCCGTGAGACCTGGTCTCATAGAATTTTTTTCCACGGATCGCAGCCCCGCGTTCGCCACCTTCTCTGCACGCCACGTGCCCCATGGAAGAAAGACAAAATCCACCAAAAAAGAAGCTGCTGCCATCCACACCGGCGCCGTACCTTCGGCGAAGTTGAAGTCTTCGCCGGAGATCTCGCCTGAGCAGATCTTGAGGAGGTACTCCTCGAGGCTCTTGGCGACGTCCACCTCCCAGTTGGACTCGGGGTCCCGGCCCGCCTGCAGTATCGGGAACCTCCCCCCGCCCGTGCTCCCCTCCCCGCCGCCGCTGCCCTCCTCCATGACTCCCCCCTCGGACAAGGACGGGGAAGCTACTGGGCGCAAAGATGCATTCTTGTGGAATGGTGGCTCGGAATCCTAGAGGAGTGCAGCGCGGGTGCTGTGCTCGGACGCATGGAGAGCAGGGGGGTTAGGGCTGGGAGAGGACCGGGGAATTTCTTGATTTCGATGGATTGGAAGTTTGGAACGGCGGGCGGGAATCTCGGTTTTGGTGAAGGTCCATTGTACAATTTTCCAAACAAACGAGGAGTATGCGTGAAGAGTGAGCGGTCAAATATTTTGGCCTTTCCCTCGCAATTTCCTTTTTTTTACAAAGTACAGACGCAAGTGCTCATATATACGCGCATACACTCAATCCTGTGAACGCATACACGTACACCCTACCTCTACGAGCACCTCTCAGAGACTGAGACGGCATATCATCTTAAGATTTACGAAATCACTATAGACGTCTCGTCGTCGACGGGAACATCTCCTCACCTAAAAGCGCATTGCCAGAAATCCTGAAATAAATCCAGAAATAATGAGAGCACCGGGACTTGAACCCTGATGGGCTGGGATACCACTATCCCTCTAACCACCCAACCACAGGTTGGTTCGCTCAATTTTCCTTTTCTTTAAAGAATGAAAAATACAATGTTCGACGGACAGAGGCAGAACCGAGCCTCCACACGACCCTCCTGAGATCTCAATTGTGGCTTTATCGCCAGCGTCACCCCTAGATTCTAGCCAGATACTTGATGCCGAGGAGTGTGGTGATTTTGATGTTTCAATCTCTCGATCTCCTAAGTCCATTGGGTGTAAGGCGTCAACCAGTCTACCTCTTAGTGTCATGGAGCATGGAATTCTAGATGTTGCTGATGTTCCCTCGTTTGCGACCATGGAGCAGGTGATGCCAGTGAGTGACATGACCATTGAGCCAAGTGTGTTGGCACCTACTCCAAATCCAGATGCTCTCTTCGTGAAGGAACTTTGTGACTTGCTCGCTAGTGTGGAGGTTGCTAGACCTGGTTTGGGCAGGTCGATTGCTTGCCTCTTGACGGGGACACCAATAAGGGGCAAACAAAAGAAGGTGGGCAAAGGAAAGAGTGGCGACATGGGCAAGGCGTCTCTCGCTGCTTGATAGATGACCTTCGATCTCTCGGCCTGTCCGCTTTGATTGGGTTGTCGTTGAGGGTTGGGAGGTGCATGATGTCTTGTGTTGAGCTGTTTTTGTCGGGGGTCTTTTGGCGTAGTAGCAATATCGGGGTTTGTGGATGTTGTGTATTCGAAGAGTCTGGGAGGGGCCGCATGTGTTGTTGTGGGGTTTCTTGCCATGTGAAGAGTTAGTATGTGCTTCATTTGTATTGGTTTTTGCCTGATTTTCCGTAAATTAACTGAGCAATTCTCTTCTTAATTAATTGATGAGGCAAAACTTTTGCCTCCGTTTCGAAAAAAAATACAATGTATACAACTTTCAGTAAATACATTCGTTCTTAAAATTACCTAGACATCTCTCACAAGAATTACAATATGAAATGGTCGAGCTCCTACCTTTGCCTTGGCAAGCATTCCAAAAGAAAAGAAAAACAATTTGTATAATCTAAAAGCTAAGAGCATCTTTACCAGATCTCGCAACCGCCCGTCCCACAAAACTTGTTTGAGGGCTCATGCAAAACATTTTTACGGGACCGCGAGCCTTCGGTGAAATAGTTCCCGTAAACCCATCCCGCAAGGGACGCGTTTGGGGGATCTGTTTCGCGCCGAAGGGCTCGCAGTCCCACAAATACAATCATAGGCAAATATTGACAAGTTCATCATCACTAGTGCATAATAACTAGTTCATCATCATATATATACATCACTGGTTGATCATCATACTAGTTCATCACATTCAAAATCATGCACAACATACGAGGTATCAAGTTTAGCCTCATAAATGCACGGTAGAACAAGACAAAAGATGCTCAAATGACATAGAGCAATCAAGCAATATCCTCATTGTTGCTAAGAACATCGCCACCAACACTGCCCCTAGCACCTCCATCACCATCATCCATATTGCCCAGAGAGTTAGCACCACCATCTTCACAAACTTGAACTGGAGAGTGAGCACCACCATCCTCACGAACTTGGACCAGAGAGTGAACACCACTGTTAGAATTAATCCGAGGTACACGATTGATCCACCGAGGAACAAGCAATCACAGCACAATGACGACACCGAGATTTGTTAACGAGGTTCATCGATATGGCTACATCCACGGGGCATGACTACGGGCGCTCCTCCCCGTGACACCGTCACAATACCGCACCCGGTCGCCCTGGACACCGGCACATGCCGCCGGCTTCCACTGCGTTCCGGTGCTATTATTTTGGCATAGGTTACATCGTGTGTCTACCCCCGCTATATATGAGAGGCCTAGGATACAAGTGTCCTATTAGAACATGATACAACTCCTATGTAAACACAATACAACTACAAGTCCAACTATAACCTACCTTGTACACAATATTCGACACAACTCCAACAAAGTCCACCTTGGCGAATATTCTCCACCACCTTGAATTCGTCAATGTGTCAAACTTCCATGTACATTGGACTTGAGTTTATCCCATGAGTACCGCTGCTACTCCAAAGACTCCATATGACTCCACCTGCAACTTGGAGTCCCTTCTTTTCTTGACCACAGTCAACGCTCGAGAAAAATTAAGTTCCTCGTTACTCTACTTTGTGCTGCCAACTTCCGGAGTATCCGTCAACGCCATCACACACCGATCATTGACCTGCGTGAAAGTGAACAACTCACATATTGGGTGTCACACATAAGAGTTACCTGAACTCAACACACCGCTCCTTTCTTGACCGTCTGTCTGAAACTTGAAGGAATTTCACCATTGTTTGTAGTCATACCGAGTCAAATTCGCAGTTGTCTCACCACATGTATGACCACCAGAGCCCTGGCCCGTCTCCATGTCCCGTGCATGCCGCACGCCTCGCCGCTATTACCGCATCGAGCCTCCGCTGTCCCGGTCGAGTCTCAAGGGTCACGAACCCACACCACTCAACCCCCACTGCAGAGTACCACCGATCATCACCGAACAATGACGAGTTTCACGCTTCCATCAGACCACTGGGCTCCAGTCCAAACTGCATGTCACTCGCTTTCCCCCCTTGCTGAATAGGCTTCGATTCCCTGGATCCTTACATCGTAGCCCCTCAATCCAGCTCCACCTTCAACATGACTCCATGGTAGAAGATCAGTCCACCCTCGCGCCCCGTCGACTTCAAGCTCCGTGTGCACACCACCTTGAATCAACCCCGCACCATAGTCTTGTCGAAGCCACACAAGCCTCAGGCTTGTGCCACGTGTTTCCACGCCCAGAAGTCGGTCACCATCAGCATCACGCTCCTACGTCGTCGTTGCTGATCCCACCACCGTCTTCTGTACCGACCGACTTACGTCGATCGGTCAGACTGTCTAGTCCGACCAAGCCAAACTTGTTCGACTGCACGACACGCTCAAGGCTCCCAAATCGTCTTCCGTGAATTTCTGTCCATCACATAATTCCATCTCAGGTGACATGACTTCTCGCAACACCCTCAAGCATCCCTCTTGTGCCAACAAATTTTCACCCATGTCTGCCACAACCCAAGATTTCCAGTTCCGTCGAACTTCTCCACCTCAAACTTGGTACCCGTTGGCGCCATAGTTCTTTGTACGGCTGACTCTGTGAAAAAAGAATTAACAAGATTTCCACGCGATGCCCAAGTACTAGCCTTCGCTTCACGTGAACTTGTCTCCTTGGCTTCAACTTCTGATGCTAAGCTAATTGCTTTTGCCTTGCCAACCATCCTTGCTAGTCCCCTGTAGCCCCTTGAAGTAGCCATCTTCATCATCCCGGCGCTATCCATGACGAGGGGGGAGTAGTTCACCCTCGGGGCTGAGGGTATGTACCAGTAGCTATGTGTTTCATCTCTCTCTCTCTCTCTCTCTCTCTCTCTCTCTCTCTCTCTTGCTCTCTCTCGTGTTCCTCCATGGCACGATCTTGATGTATCCCGAGCTTTGTTATTGTAGTTGGATCTTGTGATGTTTCTCCCCCTCTACTCTCTTGTGATGAATTGAGTTTCCCCTTTGAAGTTATCTTATCGGATTGAGTCTTTTATGAACACTTGATGTATAACTTGCCGTGATTATCTGTGGTGACAATGGGATATCATGTGCCACTTGATGTATGTTTTGGTGATCAACTTGCGGGTTTCGTGACATTGGGAACCTATGCATAGGGGTTGGCACACGTTCTTGACTCTCCGATAGAAACTTTAGGGCACTCTTTGAAGTACTTTGTGTTGGTTGGATGAATCTGAGATTGTGTGATGCATATCATATAATCATGCCCACAGATACTTGAGGTGACAATGGAGAATCTAGGTGACATTAGGGTTTTGGTTGATTTGTATCTTAAGATGTTATTCTAGTACGAACTCTTTTATAGATCGATCCGAAAGAATAACTTTGAGGTGGTTTCATACCCTACCATAATCTCTATGTTTGTTCTCCGCTATTAGTGGCTTTGGAGTGACTCTTTGTTGCATGTTGAGGGCTTGTTATATGATCTATATATGTTATTATTGTTGAGAGAACTTGCAATACCGTTGTTTCCTATCATTGCAATACCGTTTACGCTCACTTTTATCATTAGTTACCTTGCTGTTTTTATATTTTCAGATTACAAAAACCTATATCTACTATCTATTTTGCACTTGTATCACCATCTCTTCGCCGAACTAGTGCACCTATACAATTTATCATTGTATTGGGTGTGTTGGGGACACAAGAGACTCTTTGTTATTTGGTTGCAGGGTTGCTTGAGAGAGACCATCTTCATCCTATGCCTCCTACGGATTGATAAACCTTAGGTCATCCACTTGAGGGAAATTTGCTACTGTCCTACAAACCTGTGCACTTGCAAGCCCAACAACGTCTACAAGAAGAAGGTTGTGTAGTAGACATCACACCGAG